ACCGCAGTGTGGCTGTACGTGCTTTTAGTCTTTTCTGCTTAAAGATTATAGGGACTTGTGCTTTGTTTCCTCTGGAAAAAAAAATTTTTTTAAATGAGCCAAACCTTCTCTCCTTTCATCTTTGCGACATGCATGTGGCCGTGGGCTGCTTTGTGCTAACTACCTACTCTTGCCTGGATGCAGCTCTGGCTTCCTGAGCAAGGGCCACAAGCTCCAAATACTGACTGAACCTTCTGGTGGCTGAAGAGAGGTTAGGGAAACAGGGTCACTAGGTGTTGGACCAAGCATTTAGACTTTAGAAGTTCGGCTGAGACATATTTACCTGAGTAATTTGTTCCTTTCCGAGGGAAGGGGACATAATGTATTAGACCATTCCATTACCCAGTACTTGCTGGTTACTTGATCTCACACTTAAACTCCTTACCTTGAATGTGATTTGCAGGGAGGCTCCGCTTTCCAGAGTGTCCCTGCTTTGGAGCCAGAGGTCCTGCCCCAGCACTTGGCTGCTTGTTGACCATGCTCTCCTCTACCCCACTGAGGGAGGTGTGGGGTTGAGAGTTGAGTCTGTGAAAGAAGATGGCCAACCAGATGGTGCACTTGTTCTTGGTGGAGGATGCAGACTCCAGCTTTGAGGGCTGCTGGCCCTTATACCTGCAAGGACACCTCCATCAAGTAGGATAAGGTTCCCCAGGAAGGAAAGGGAGGCACCCCTCTGGCTGAGAAGCCCTGGTTTCGTGCACAACTTTGATATCATCACCTTCAGCCACCTTATTCTCTCATGCTCAGACCTGGCTCGTTCCTAAGACCATTTTGTAATTCTCAACCCCAGACTACACCTGTGTGCCGAGTTTGTAGCCAGTAGCAGGCAACCAATGGCTTAAAACATCTCTGATGCTACAGTAACATGGGCCCAAGTGTTTCAAAGTGGTTCCGATTCCTTGCTATCCAATTCCTGGGCCTGTTTTACCCTCAACCTTCTAGATCCTGTGTGCTGTTGCTGGCCAGATATCAGGCCCTTTCCTGGAACCTTCCTTCAGAAGTATGGAGCCAGCATGGCACAGAGTCAAAAATGCCTTGCACCACCGCAGCCCATCCCTCAAGCTTCCCCTCCTGAATCCTCCAGTGGAAGGTCAAAGTAAGAAGCCAACTGTTAGAACTTTTGTCCAAGCCTTTGTGGGAACTAAAAGAATGCCTTAAGGGGGTCCCAGGTGTAGGGAGAGCCTCCTCTCCCCTTGTTGCCTCGACCACCATATGGCACATACACTCTAGAAAATTTTAGGAGCCCTGGTGGAGATAAAAGTTTCTGATGTGCGTTTAATTAATACATTGTATGTTTTGCAATAAAGATGTTTAGCCTTAAGACCCTTGAATGGAACTCCAGCTGGGATAGAGCTACCAACACTCCCCCCCCCATCCTGTTGCTTAAAGAGAAACCCCCTAAGGGCACTCTCTGACCCCAGGGTAGCCTCTCCTCTGTCACGAAATTGTACTGCCTTCTCGCTCGCTTCAAGACCAATACTTCCACCAGCTCTTGTGCCCTCCAGCTCTTGTGCCCTCCAGCTGGACTTCACTGTCCCCTCAACACCATCCACAGCCACCAGAGAAAGCATCATTTTCTCACACAAGGCATTCGTGTTTTGAAGTTTTGAATCCCACTCTCCCTGCCACCACCATACATGGTTCAAAAGAATCAATGTGAATTTGCAGCTTAAATTAGTTTCAAATGAAACGTCTTTCTCATGCAAGCAAATCAGACTCATTCTGGAACTTCTAGAACTGGACTCGAGTGCCCCACAGGCGCCAGACCCGGTGGGTGCCCTCGCCGCCCCAATGAATGTATTCTCTTAGTATTCAGACGTTGTACTTCTGCATCGGTGAGAGGCTGTCCACAGCGGACGGTTCGCCAACCCCATAAAGACACTTCTACTCCCGAGCAGCCCGTCAGTCTGGGGCTTCTCCTTATATTGATATCTTTGCATTGAGTCCCGCCAAATCCTCCATTGGGTTTTTCTTTCTCCTTCGCATCGGCCACTTTGTCCAAATGAGCAAGAACAGACAGAAGTGCAAGTGAGCGGACACTATTTTTATGGTCAGCTGACCGTGCTGCCAGAAACCCCACTGTATGTGTGCACTTGGGAATGGTAAAAGGAATATGCGGGCCCCTCCACTGATGATATGCCCTTCTCAACATTTTTAAACAAGCACAAATGATATTTGTAAAAAAAAAAAAAAAGTTTAATTTTATTTATTATGGTAATAAACTATTTTATACAGGATACTTGCTTTTTTGCCTTTTCTTACATAATTTTAAGGCATTGAATTGGATGTTCTGACCTAAGATGACAGAACAAGGACGGTACTTTCTATTCCTTTCCAAGAGCTTGGGAGGCCCTAATTTGGAGAGTACCTGTAAGTCTGGTTTTGGGGGCCTTAGGATTCTAGAGACCCCAAGATTGTGTGTCTAAGGACAGCATAGTAAGAGAATGTTTGTGACAGTGGTTTGCCACATGATCCAGAAATAAGGCTATATCTGCTCTTTGGATGTCCCAAGATGCCTTCCAATGGTGCCATCCCTGGCAAACTGTGGTACAACACAGTGATTTCACACATATCTGAACATGACCTCCTAATTAGAAGTTTACATTTTAAACAATTTGGGTTGAAATCTATTTAAAATCTATTAATGCTTCCCTGCTTTTTAAAACAGTGTAAAAAACAACTGTGTCTTTTTGGAGTGATTCCATATCAACCATATGAGTTCTGATCCGTGCTTTAATTCATGGATGGTCTCAGAAGCTACTAAGGTAGAGGACTGCTTGACCCTAAATGAACTAGTCCTAAGTCCCAGCACTCTCAGTTTGGCTGTGGTTTTAATACTTGCTTGAATAATTGCTTCTTGCTGGTGAGATTCTCCACAGGACTGTCAACCTTTCTTTTTTAATACCAGGGGACTGCATTTCAAAAAGCACACCTTGCTTTTTGTAGACAGAACATAACTCAGGATGAGGAATTTGTGATTTGCAAGCCATATTTGGGCCTCTGCTTGATCCATAGGGCCGTAGTAGGAGTACAGCATTTTTAATGATGTCCTCTACAACCCATTCTTTCATTACGTTGCAGAAAAGCATAATAAAAATAAAGGAAAGGTGATAGTATTTAGAAGTCCAAGTGACTGATACTCATTCAAAAGTCTCACCTAAAAAAAAAAAAAGTTTCACCTAATAAAGCACTGAACATTAGGTTCTTTATATATCCTCAATGGTGAAAAAAAAATCCCTCTTTGTGAATATGATTTTTGTAATTAGTCAAAAGGACTAGTAATACAGTGCTAAGTAACAGATACTACATTCTGGGTGCCAAAGGGGTGTCAACTATTAGGGGGATTTTGTTGGTTTGTTTTAAAATAAAACAGTTTCCCTGAAGAAGGGCTTTGGGTTTCTCAATGCCCACTGAGGAAGGCCAGCACCCTCAAGATAACCTGGCTTCTCAGTGGTTGGGCCTCTTGTGTGGAGATATTCAGGGACATTTGTTAGAAAACAAACTCATTATATTATGGTTAATTTCTTATTATATATAATTATATTATTATATATTATATACTTGGACATCTTCTTGCATGGTCCCCAAAATAAGTCAAAATGACCAAGAGTTGGCTGTCCTTCAGATGTCCTGCTTGCCTCCCTGGGGATCATCTTGGCGATCGTATTTGCAGCTCGGCTTGTCCACAGGGCTCGGTTGAGGTCAGAGGATCCCGGGGCTAGAAGCGACCTTGGTACCTTGCCTAGTTGTTTTCCTGCCCCATGCCTGAAGCTGCCCGGGGCTGATGGCTTTTGCAAAGTGAGTATCAGAGATGCTCCGTCCTGCCAGGACCTTCAGGAGTCTTTCATTTAGAGCAAATCCAAGACATTACTTCACATGCATGAAGAGAGATCTATTACCGCTTTCATATTACAGTTGGAGAACAGCAAGAGGTCAAAGAAAGAAAACAATGGTCCTAAATAATCCGCATGTTGGTTAATCAGACCTCAAATATGTAGCTCATCGTGAACTAATTCCCAAGAACCACTCCAAGTCATGTAATAGCTTAAAAGAAATTCAGGATTATTAGCTCCAAATATATTCACCAATTCTTCCAATATAAGTTGAGTGAATAAATTTGTTTTTACATAAACGGTGTCTCCGAAGAGTTCAAAATACTTTGCATTATTTACGTATGTACATACATCAGACACTTGCCTATAATCCTCTTCACGCCCCTGTGTGTGCTTAGCCAGGCTCCCTGTGGCTGGCCATGGTTCCAGAATGAGTCAGTCCATGATCCTGTACTACAGTCCCTGGAGAGTTCTCTCTTCCCAGAACCATACCCTACTTAAAACTTCCCAGCACCTTGGGATCACCTGCGTGGGCCTCTCTGTCCTTTACTCACCCAACTGCTAAGGCCACTGCTGTCAGCCTGGCTGCCCCTCTGGGTCTGTTCCAAGCAGCAGTCAAGCCGGGGTACACCCACTGCACGCCTGCCCGCTCCATCCACGTCTGCTCTCCCAGGCAGAATGGGTAGGAAGAAAGCAAGTCAGCAAGACGGCCGGTCCTGCATTCTAGGAGTCTGAATCTCACTGAGTTAAAAGCCACAGCCAGGACACAAGGATCACGCCAGATGGCAAATGTAAGATGTGTGGCCAACACAGGTCCAAGGGAACATTTCATTCAATAGCAATTTTATCCACGGGTTTGAGATGTACTGAGTCTCCCATAATGGGGTACCTTACATAGACTATGGATCAAACTTCCCAGCTTCTTCACACGCCACTTGCCCTCTCAGGGAAAAAAAAAAAAATCCAAAGTCAAACAGGTCTCTTCAGCCTCTTCTACCGCTTACGGCTATTAGTGACCTGTCACCCACTTTCCAGAGGGGTGAATAATTAAATAAGAGTCATAGGTATTTATGTACATTTTAAGCATTTTCTTTAAAAAATACTCAAAATGATTCTGTAAAAATGTGAATTATCAGTATGACAGAAAAGGCTCCATTTTATTTGTAACAAAATAAAACAATGTAAACCAGAGTGTAATCCACTGAGCGGGAAGATGACTGCTGGGGCTTACTCATGAAGAGAGGAAAAAGGACCATAGGAAACCATCCTTACCCTTTGTCACTTGCCTGGTAGCACCCGTCTGTGGGTGCACGAGCTCATGGTTCCTTAATTCTTCTTTGTCGGGAAATGAAGATTAACTGTCCGGTAGAGGAACTGCCATGTTTATACTCTGCAAATCTAGGGAACCAAGCATCCAAATGTCGATCACTGCGACAGTGTTCCAATAACAGATCTCCTTAGGTACCGGCCTCCTGGAACACGATAGGACATGCTGTATCTTCCCTGACTGGACAATGAGAAACTTAACTGTGGCTTTGTCTCCTCCCTGCCAGGGTGAAGCTCAGACCCCAGTGCTGGTTCTAGAGACCACACTGCAGGACATGGGAAAGAAATCACTTAAATATTAGCAAAATATTTCAGAAATATCTACTGCATTTAATTCTTGGTAAAGTAGAAAGAACCTGAAGGGCCCTGGGACCGGGTTCTAGACCACAAGGTTACCATGTGCAGCAGGCAAGACAATACTGCTCTGGGGCCCTGCTTACTCAACAGGAAAGTAATGGGGCTGGGGGAGCTTTGGTTCCCAAAGTTAGAAGCCTCACTGGTTGTCAATTTTCTATGAGAGCTCAAACTTCCAGTTTTGGAGGGAGATAACTCCAACAAAAGATGAGCAGATGACGCACTGGTTCCTTGGAGGTTATCTTGGCGTATGAGGTCAGGGTGAAGCACCATTGCCTTGGAGGCCAGCAGGAAGGGCTGGCACCAGCTGGGCGGCATTAGTCCACTGAGTATGTCTGGGCCCAGGCAATGCCCACATGGGAGTAGCAGTAGAGGAATCCCAGAACAGAGAGGGTCACATATGGCCAGCCTGCAGAGGGAAGTCAGAGACAGAAGAACAGTTAGAAACACCTGGGGCAGGACCTTCCACAAGCACAAACTCTCCCCCTTTGGAGAAGGCAACCCAAGAAATAACATGGGCCTCAGCTGACGCATCAAGACACACACCTCCTAGAAGGTGTGCTCTACATGGAACACCAACAACTTGAACCCTACATTCCTACTGGGCCAGCATTAAACGAGGGGTATGCTATCTCAAATGGAAATTAGGTTTAGAAATAGGACTGACTTTTTGCCATCTGCAATGATGGGGATGGAACTAGAGGGTATTATGCTGAGTGAAATAAGTCAATCAGAGAAAGATAATTATCATATGATCTCTCTGATATGAGGAATTTGAGAAGCAGGATGGGGGTTCATGGGGGGTAGGGAGGGAAAAAATGAAACCAGATGGGATCAGGAGGGAAATAAGCCGTAAGAGACTCTTAATCTCACAAAACAAACTGAGGGTTGCTGGGGGTGGGGGGGAGGGGTAGGGTGGCTGGGTGAGGGACATTGGGGAGGGTATATGCTATGGTGAGTGCTATGAAGTGTGTAAGCCTGACGATTCACAGACCTGTACCCCTGGGGCAAATAATACATTATATATTAATTTAAAAAACTTAAAAATAGGACTGGCTTTTAAAGAACATATATTTAGAAAACTAAGGTAGTTAATAATAAAAAAGAAAAAAAGTCCGTAAGACCCACAGTAAATCTCAAAATATAGATTGGCCATTATATGGAATTGAGTGCCATCTGTAAGAACACAGAAGGGAGAGCCTAAATTAAACATTTGCTTTCAAAACTCAAAGCTTTTAGTGGTTCCTTCTATAAGTACTCGTCTTAGAATATCTGATGTTCTTTTCTTTCTTTTTCTCCTCCTCCTCTCCCTTCTCCTCCTCCTCCTCTTCAATTAACAACCCTCTCTTGCTGGTCACTTAAAGACTTCCATGTCCTCTACATGTTTCACTTACTCAAACATAGGACTTTTGGAGCTCTGGAGATGCAGAGATGCTGTGGAAGGTACCAGATGCCGAAATAGGTGATCCCATTCCAGCCTGGCAAAGATACACACTACTGGGATCTATGAGCCATGTAACGTGTGCTAGATAATGATGTAGACAGAGCACATTTAAACTGGGCCATGTGGGGTGAGCAAGAGTTTGTCAGATGGAAAGGGGCAGAAATAAGCAACCAGAGAGACCACCTCAAGTGTGAACATCACAGGCCACCCCAGGAACCAGGATCACAGGACTGTGGCTACTGCACAGGAAGGGCCAGGCAGGACAGGGCTAGAAGTAGGGAGGAGGCAGTGGGGAGCCACTGAGGGTACTATATACTTCTATAGGCTCCCTTCTTGCTATATCAACAAGCAGCTGTGATTATTATTACTAGAAGTTCTATGAATATGGTGTAATGGTTAAGTGTGCTGGCTCCAAGGTGAACCTGGACACCAGTTCAAACCCTGACTCTGTCACTTGCCAGCTCCGTGACTAGGAACAACTTGATAAATCTCAAATGTAAAACTAGGGGAGGGACAGAGCACCTCTACAGGATGCTATGGACTCATTGTGTCCCCCTACATTCATGTGTTGATGCCCTAGCCCCGACTGCATATTTCGAGGTGGGGCCTTGGGGAGGTAAATGGGTTGAGATCAGATCACGAGGGAGGAGCCATCATGATGGGATTAGTGCCCGCATAAGAATGGACGCCAAGAGCTTGCCTCCTCTCTCTCTGCCATATGACACAGTGAGAAGGTGGCCATCTAGAAGCCAGAAAGAGGGTCTTCACCAGGAACCAGATCAGCTGGCATCTTGATCTTAGACTTTTCCAGTCTCTGGAACTGTGAGAAGTAAATGTCTGTTGTTCAAGCCTCCCAGTCCACATACTTCCTTACGGTGGCCCGAGGTGATGAAGACATAAGGAGGGAATGTGACATGATGTAAAGGCCTGCACGGTGCCTGGGCTCCGATGGGCACTAAGGAAAGGTAGTCATAATACTGGGGCGAAGACAAAGAAGTCTTTCTCCACCAAGATGAGAGTGATAACAGGAAGTCCCGCCCTGGTCTTCCTCTGAACTCTTATTTTCAACTCTCTCCTGAGATTGGCTTGGCACCAGAACTCTAGGCCCTGAAGGCAGGAGAAGTGAGGGGAGCCGAGGACCCCCAAGAGCCTGGCTCTAGGCCCAGCCCTACAGTCCCACCTTCTGTCTGCTCATCAGCCAGTGGGTTAGCTTCCTGTGGCTACTGGAGCAAATGACCACAAACTTAGTGGCTTCCAACAACAGAAATGCGCTCTCTCATACTTCTAGATGCTGCAAGTCTGAAATCAAGGTGTTGGCAGGTTGTCCTCTCTCCAAAGGCTCTTAGGGAGACTCCTCCCTTGCCTCTTCCAGCTTTGCATGACCCCAGATACTCCTTGACTTATGGCAACATACTTCCAATCTCTGCCTGTCTTCATGTGATACTTTTCTTAAGAGAGTACCTCTTCCCTGGGTATCTCTGTGTCCTCTCCTCTTAGAAGGACACCAGTCATTGGGTTCAGGGCCTCCTCTAAATCCACCATGATTTCTTCTCAAGACACTTAGCTAATGACATCAGCAAAACCCCTATTTCCAAATGAAGTCCAATTCTGCTGTTGCAGACAGACATGAATTTGCGGGGAGGGCAGGCACTAATCGGCCCAGGACAGCCAGGTACTTTTTCAAGCTTCAAAATGGACACATCCTGCCTGGAGCCCTCAGACACAGATGCCAGGGGACCTGTTGACATCCGCTCCTCAGTGGACTCAGGAAGCAGAAATTAGAGAGGGGGCTTCAGGAATGGGGAGCTGACCCAGACTTCAGCTGTGTTTAGGATGATGCGTTGGCAGGTGTTTGGTAAACACAGAACCCAGAAGCGGGCTGTGGAGGTGGGAGAATGGAGAGCTTATATTTACACAAAGCTGGGCCTGGGTCATTGCACAGCTGTGCTTGGCCCTGCAACCGTCCAGGGACATCCCTGTGAAAGCTTCCGGCCAGCACACAGAACTGTAAGGAGAAATATCCCCAGCACTGCCCAGAAATGTGGCATAAGCATGTTCAGTCGGGAGCCCAGTTAGACCCTGAAAATTCCCTCTACCATTAACTGTCTGCCATGCACAGAGGCAGATAGATAACAGGTAGCACACCTGTAATCCTGACTCTGCTATGAGACCCTAGCCAGGCCTCAGTTTCTCCACCAACACAATGGGAGATCAAAAACAAACAGATGTGCATGAAATTGGATGACAGACTCAGTAGTGCTTTTAAAGAGTTTCAGAAATGCAAATAATTCCTACACCTGAGAAGTCAATGTATATAGTCTATGTGTGAAGCTGTTATGTAAACAGCTCTCCTTTCCTGATCTCAGGAGTAAGCTCTGTGATGACAAGAAGACGGATTCCACAAGTCACCCTTCCGCAGTATTCACTCAGTATTTCATGAGCATTTGCTGTGTGCCTGGCCTGAGACATCAGACATCAGTATCACCCTCTGTGGGCTGCCTGCTCTAGGCACTGGGACTTTGTAGAAGCTGCTAACCAAGCACTGATGTACTCCAAGTGTCGGGGGTGCATGGGGCAGAGACTCCTCTTTATCAGGGCTCAGATCAGTGCAGAAAAAGAGACAGGGATGGGCTGTCATTCTGGCCACATTTGAGGGTTGCTATGATGCTATCATCCAGGCTTGTCAGCCGTGCACAAAAAAGAGGGCATCAAAAAGGGTTCTGTCCCAACAAATGAACCCCGACCTCATCCTGTAGCCCTCACTCTCCCCGGCCTTTCCCCATTCTGTGTTCTCCTTCCAAGTTCGCCCTTCTCACCAGGGTTTCTAATCCACACTGTCCAGTCAACTCCCAGATCCTGGCATCCCCAACCCCATGCATGTGCACACACACATTCACATACATGCACACATACGTGCACATGCATGCACGCACTCACGCACACACACACACCATTGATGTGGCTTATAGCCTGGTGGGCAGTATGGTATTGGTCAAAAGAAAAGGTCTTTCTTAAGAGAGTATCTTAAGGCCAAGCCACCCCTGCACACTTGGTATATGCAGAGCTAGGCCCCCAGATCCAGTGATTCGTCCTGGTGGGCTTTTGATACCTAGACCTATAAGATCTAAACAGTTGAACACTTTTAACAGCTGACAACTAGGCAGCACTGAAGATACTACAAAGAGGATGCTAGCAAGTTAGGCAATGGTTGCAAAAGACTGGGTAATGGAGCTAATAGGACAGACTACCTGACAGGTATAGCTAAATGCATACAATTAGGATGCATAGCACCACAGATCATTTAAGAAGATCCACGTATGTGGTGTAATAGAGGGAGTTAATAGGATGTAGGTGGTTATATCATGCTATTGTTAAGAAGCCACTGGTGTATCGTAGAATAACTACAGCTAATGAGAACAGGTAGGACACAGAGGGAAATGTCTATAGCTAAGAAAGCAAGTGGTGTAATTTTATTTGAGGTTATTATGGCTGAGTGATTTTCTGAGCAATTACATCAATCTGAAAAGACTGGAAGGCTGAGGCTCAAGAGAGTGAAGGAAAAGACCATTATCATACAGGGGGATATATAAAATTGGTTTTCTGGAAAGTGATGGGATAATCAGAAAAAGCAGCAAGTCTAATGAAAATCTTTATTTAAAAGGTAACATTGTAAAATGATTGCAGCCACTGTGGAAAACAGCATGGAGGTTCCTCAAAAAATTAACCCCCTAAAACAACAGAATACTCATTGCTCTCAAGCACACATGGAACTTTCTCTGGAAGAGACTACATACTGGGTCACAAATCAGGGCTCAACCAATTATTCCCTGCATATTCTCAGACCACAATGCTTTGAAACTGGAACTCAATCACAAGAAAAAGTGTAGAAAGAATTCAAATACTTGGAAGCTAAAGACCATCTTGCTCAAGAAGGTTTGGATCAACTTGAAATCAAAGAAGAACTT